CCTGCCCCCCTTCCCCTCACATCCTCACCTGCCCCCCTTCCCCTCACATCCTCACTTGCTTCCCTTCCCCCCCTCACATCCTCACCTGCCCCCCTTCCCCTCACATCCTCACCTGCTCCCCAGCATCCTCCCACCTCCCCAGCATTCCCTGAAGCCACCTTCATCACCGGTCCCAACAGGCCAGCGTGCTACACCTGCCGCAGCTGGAAGGTAATATAGAAGCCACTTCAAGCCTCATGCCTATGAATCCAGCAACCAGGATAATAAAACATGGGGTTATTTTGTGTTTTATTAACTGCCTATTGCCTTCCGTTTGCATAATCGTGAGCTGGATTGACAGGCTGTTACTGGGGCTGTGCGCTGTTTTAATAGAAGGAGCTGATGGCCCCCCTCCCACTCCCGCATGATGGAGCGGACTTATCCAAAGCTGATGAAGATTTCCTTCACACTGGCTGCGTCCAGCAATGTCGTTTTTTCCAGATGGATACTCCATTGTAAAGTGATTTCCCACCAAGCTCGCCTCTGTCCCTCTCTTCTGTGGTATCTTCCTATGAACCGGATAAACTGCCTATTAAATTTAATTACAGCCCGGATGGCCACACGACTTGATCTTGCATCCCCCAAGTTCACTGTGTTCCATGAAGGTCCTTGAGGAAGGCATAGAATGAATCTGCAGGATGTGTGCCTGCTTCTGCGGGATGCTATGGGAGCCGGGATAGCCACCACACTTCAGCAGCTTTTCTGGACTCCCTTCTGCAGAACCCCCCCCCCCCTCTGGATTCCTGCAGATGTTAGAAGCCAAGCCTGATTGACTTGAGGACTAATCTTAACCAAACCTATTGGCTTGCAATGCAGAATTCCCCTTATGGAGATAGGGGCATTTGTCAGAGGGCCCCACACAGCCTTGGGGAACCTGGTCTCTCCTTGGATAGCTTAGTCCTACCTTAGGAGACATGGAATTCCAGGGCTCATAAAGAGCTCTAGGTCACTGCCAGAAGAAACAGAGCCACTACCACAGAATGACGGTCATCCTGGGACGGCTCAGACGAGCAAAGACGGATGAACATGCTAGTCACCAACTCGCTTTCACTGGGCCCTGGTATGAGCTCATTGCATCATCCATGTTGTAGGCAGCAATCATGAAGCAAGGAGACGGGCTGCATGTGGATGAAGAGGTGGCCCACAGATTGGAGGCAAGCACTGTCATCAGGCTCAGGACAGGACAATGCTGGGCGGTGGGCAGCCTCCCAGAGAGCCAGAGAAGCTGCAAGAGAAAAGTGGATTTGAGCAAAGACTTGAGGGGCGCATCATGCAGAGGAGGGTGATCCAGGAGGCCAACAGCCAGCTCAAAGGCCCAAGGCCTGGCTGGCCATGCCTCACCTTCAAGGTAGAGGAAGGGACCTGGGGGCGCGCACATCCTCTCCTCACATCAGAAGGACTTTTAGCCTCAGGAAATGAGGGCGGTTAGGAAGGTAAGGAAGATAGCAGATAGAGATGAGACCTGGTGACAGTGTGTCACCTCTGGTGACAGTGGTGGAGGCTCTGTGTCTGGGACACTTGGGTCATGAGTACCGTGGGTGAGACCTCTACAGCTCTGGGAACCGGAGGGTCCAAGCTCCTTGTATGGCACATTTTGTGTCACTTTTCGACTCTGGCTGTTTCTTTTTTTTAAATGTGTATGGCTGTGTCGCCTGCATGTGTCTAAGTACACACATGTTGTGCAATGCCCAAGGAGGTCAGAAAAGGGTGTCAGATCCCCTAAAACTGGAGTTACACACTGTTGTTATCCACAATATGGGTGATGGGAACTGAACCCGGGTCCTCTGCAAGAGCAGTCAGTGCTCTTACCTGCTGTTTACCTGCTCTTACCTGCTGTTTTTTGTTTTAATATTTTTTTTATTTTTATGTGTGCGTATTGTGTATTGCCTGCATGTAGATAAGTGCACCCATGTCATGCAATGCCTGCAGAGGTCAGAAGAGGCTGTCAGATCCCTTGGAACTGGAGTTTCAGACAGTTATTAGCGGCCATGTGGGTGCTGGGATTCGAACCCGGGTCTTCTGCAAGAACATTCAGTGTTCTTAACTGCTGAGCCATCTCTCCAGCCCTGACCCTGTCACCAACTCACTTTCACTGGGCCCAGGCTCCCAGGGTCTTACCCTTCACCATCCCAGTGTATGTTCTGAGGTTGCAGTATACGGCAATGCCACCATTAAATTCAGCGAGAATCTCAAACACCTTCACTCCTCAAACTTTAGCTTTCTCTGTGTGTCAGAATCCCTCCAGTTGGTTTGTTTGAAATGGAACTGGGAGTTCTACACCTCAGTCAACAAAAGCTTCATCAATATCTTTGTTTCTGAGCTAAGTTCCTGGAGTAGCTCTGCATCTTTTTCTTTTTTTTTTTAAGATGGGGCTTGATTTGTGACAAGAGTATGCAGGTGTAGACCATTCCCATCACTCTAGAAAGGTGCACCTGTGACAGCCCCCCCACCCCGACCCAGGAAGTCGCTGCCCTGCCCGCCATTGCTGCATGCTGCGTTTTCCAGGATGCGCTGGGGTGGGGTGGTCTTGCACACAGAGTTTTATGTCTGCCTTCCTCACTCGAGTGGAGAGCTCACTGTTGCTTTCAGTGTCTGTCCTTCCTGCTGATGGCACCTCCTGTTCACTGCATAGCCGTTTCCCCAAGGTGTCAACCCCCCTTTACATTGAAACACTGGGGTGAGTCACTGTCAGTCTGTAAGTTCCCCTCCATCGCCGTCCCCACAGTGTCTTGGGGGCTCTTTGGTTTTACTTGGTGTCTGGGTTCAGAATGCTTGGGATGGTGCTTACCATGTTTCCACATATCAGCGTAGATCCTTGTTTGACTTGAGTTTGATTGGGCCAGGCTGGAGCCCAATGGTGTTTTCCCTCAGGACACCCAGGGTGCAGCAGGCAGCAGAAAGCAGCGGTGATCCATGTCAGAGCTGTCAAACAGTAGGTCTGCCTTTGTCAGCGGACAAGTGCAGAGAAACCTGCCTTCGTCTGCTCCACGAGTGTCTAGTGACTGAAAGCTTGTGCAGTTTGAAAGCAGGAGTCTGAGGTCCGGTGGAGAAGCTGAGTACGAGGGTTCACAGAAAAGCACACTGTTCCCACCCCTGAAGGCGTTTTCTCTCTGTCTCTCAGAATTCCAGTGCTGACCACAGGGTCCGACTGGACCTGGGCCTCTGGGACAAATTCAGCGAGCTGGCCACCAAGTGCATTATTAAGATCGTGGAGTTCGCCAAGCGTTTGCCGGGCTTCACCAGCCTGACCATCGCAGACCAAATCACCCTGCTCAAGGCCGCCTGCTTGGACATCCTGGTAGGAACCTTTCAGGACTCTAGGAGGGCGCATGGGGGAGGGGAAGACAGGAAAAGAGGAGGGAGTTGGAGGCTTCCAGAAGCTTCTGAGGAGACTCTGTTTCTCAGTCTTACCTTCTTGAAGAGTCTTGCCCCTTCTTGGAGTTTTACTGGATTGACAAAAGCTCAGAGGACTCTGAAGTTGGACAAAATCCTCCTCCTGTCCCTCTCCAGTGTGGCAGCCCACCATGTGATCATGGGAGAGGCCCCTCATGACCCTTTGAGGCCTTGTTCCTGGCCTCCCGTACACTCAATTCTAGACCAAACAGGCCAGGCATTACAAAGACACCTTCCTCCTTCTGTTCCTGCTCCCTGTCCCCTGCCGCGGAGCCTCTTGGGACATTGCAGCCGGCCCCTGGCACAGCCCTGTGGATGCTGAAAGAGCATTAGTTTTCCCTAAGTAGAAGGCACAGGAGCTCCTGGTCCAGGCCCTGCCCAGATCTTGCATAGCCTCCACCTGTGGTCCAGGAACCTTTCCCTTTTGTCTTAACATGGCCACTAAGTCTGGGCCAGGCTGCTGCAACCTCCTTTGCTCTCACAACTCTGGAGGCTGAGAGCCCAGGGTCAGCCAATCACGGAGGTTGGTTCTTGGGTCAAACATGACTGCCCCCCTGCCCCCTGCCGCCTCACTGGCTTTATCTCTGTCAGGGCACTAATCCCTTCTTGGAGCTCCATCTTCGTGACCTGTCAAAGCCCAGTCTCCCCAGAGGTCCACCACCTAATATTGTCACTTGGGATTGGAGCTCCAACATGTGGGGTATGGGTGCAGCCTCGGGTCCACAGCAGCCCTGTGGCTCTATCCACAGCTGTGAGAAGGGAAATTCCTGACCCTAACTCTACCACAACTTCCAAACCTCCAGAGGGAAAGGCCAGGTCCTGTACTGAAGCATAGGACTTGGGATATGGGGTTCAGGGGCTTTAAAGTCAGGAGCCTGTGCCCCTCTGAGGTCCACTCCACACACAGCCTTGTAACTAGAAGGCAGGCTGTTGTGCTCACACCCATTCTCTTCCTGATGCCATGAAGGTGGACACATTCAGGAGGCCAGCCCCAGTCAAATCATGTCAGGAACACGTTACCCTCCTCCAACCCTGGTTAGACAGTGCCCAGAGGCTTTAACTTCTGCTCAGCAGCAAAGAGGCATCTGCAGCAGGAACAGAGTCCAGATGTGTACTCGGAGGAGGCGCCATGCAGTACAGAGGATACGGCCCTTGCTGGGGAAGTTCTGGGGACTGCAGAGGGAGAACTGGAGACAGGAAGCCCACAGGAAGGTGTATGAGTGGAGGGTGAGGAACACAGGTCCCAGGCAGCACGTCTGGCAAGCACTAGGCAGAGCCAGACTCCTGGAGCAGAGAACCTGCCTGTACGTCCAGATAGGTTGCAAGTGCCCTCTTCTCCAGGACTCTGCCCTCAAATGCCTCCTGATTCCTGACACCCTGATAGCTCTGTTCCTGTGTGTCTGTGGCTTAGGCCAGACATCGTGGGAGAGTGCCTTGCTTGGGTTTGAGTCAGATTCAGTTACACGTTATCTGGGACAGTGAGAAAAGCACGTGGCCCGAGACTTGGGGCTCTCGTCTGTAAATAATAGGACTTTGGTTTGGAAGACTGAACCTAGGTACGTGCAGCCCTCGGTATACACTAAGCACTTAATAAGGGGCTGTTGGTTACTTTCCTTTTTGCTGTGACCATATGCCTGACAAGAGGCAACTTAAGGGAGAGTTTATGTTGGTTCATGATTTGAGGGTACAGTCTGTCATGAAAAGGAAGTCACGGCAACAGGAACAAGGCCACTGGTCACATGTCCACAGTCAGGAAATGGCAGCACTCGGGTGACTTCCATTTTTCCACGTTTATTCAGACAGAAGCCCTGGTCTGTGGATAGTGCCACATTCAGGGTGCGTCTTCCCTTGTCAGTGAAGCCCTTCTGGAAATACCCTCACAGACGGTCCATGGTGATTCTAAATCCCATCACGTTGATAGGAAGACGAGGTAGGCATCGCAGCTGGCAGGGATCACCCTTATTTTTTCTTGGTAGACTGTTAACTCTTGAAAACAGAATCGTGTTTGTCTACTTACCACTGACACTGCATCACTTTTAATACAAAGTTTTCTCTCAGAACTTCTTGTGCCCTGTTTATTCCCTAAGTGAGTTCAACTCTGCTCTTTGTCACCTGTGAACTTCTAATGAAATGGCTGGAGAAACCATCAACATTTCACAGTAAGACAGACTGCTCCACGTGAGGCCTAAGCGCCTGTTTTACTGTTATTTCCTGGTACATCTGTGGTTGCTGTCAGGACAGGCTGGCAGAGAGGACCCATCAAATGCGTACACACACACGCACATAGAGACATACACACACACACATGCGCGCGCGCACACACACACACACACACGCACACATGTATATGTATATTTTTTTTCTTTTCAGATTCTCAGAATTTGCACCAGGTATACCCCAGAACAAGACACCATGACCTTTTCTGATGGCCTTACCCTAAATCGAACCCAGATGCACAATGCCGGCTTTGGTCCTCTGACCGACCTCGTGTTCACCTTTGCCAACCAGCTCCTGCCTTTGGAAATGGATGACACAGAAACAGGTCTCCTCAGTGCCATCTGCCTGATCTGCGGAGGTACCGACCCCTAGGAGCCCTCACTGGACCCCACAAAGTGGTGTACAGGTCATGGGACAGCCCCGGCTCCACACTGGCACCTCCTTTACCGGGGAAAGTGTGCAGATAGACCTGCGTGCCCAGGCTGGTTGTGCTATTCCCTGTTGTAAACTGAGTGATGCTGTTTGAAATTCTTCTGCTCTGAAAGAAATGCCAAAATGTTGTTCCTTTCTCCTGTGGCAAACAAGAACTTTCATAATGACAGGATCATACTGGTTTACACCGAAGGTCATGTTAATGACCCAGTTCAGGAGTGTGTTACTTGTTTTAAAAATAAAGTAGTTAGAATTCAAGTCACTGCTGGGCTCCCCACCATGCTTGTAAACTGGAGTAAGCACGCTTGCTTCTTGGTAATGGCCCTGGCTGGCTCACCAGAGGCCAGACCTCCAGTGCTTCCAAAGTAATGGCTCTAATAAAGGGGCAGATCCAGGGGCTTTTACAGTCAGCCTGCCCAAGGTGCTTTCATTCAGTTCAACACTGACACCACCTGGTCACACAAGGTAATTCCTACGCTCAGATAAAAGGAAGTGTGCATTAGCTGTGCTTCAGACCAATCAGGGGGACAGCTATCTTCAAGGATCACTGCTCAAAGCAACTGCATTTATTCTGGTTAGCGTACTCGGAATCACCAACTAAATAAGGCCATCACAGAGGACCGAGGGGAGGGAGGGAGGGAGCAGTCCTCCAGCCTGGGAACCCTGTCAATCTTGATGCCATATGCTGACTGCTTTCTCCTGTGACCCAGACCGCCAGGACCTTGAGGAGCCCACAAAAGTGGATAAGCTGCAAGAACCGTTACTGGAAGCACTCAAGATTTATATTAGAAAACGACGGCCTAGCAAGCCCCACATGTTCCCAAAGATCTTAATGAAAATCACAGATCTCCGCAGCATCAGTGCAAAAGGTATGTCTCCCGAGTAGAGCGGGTGGAGCCTTGCTGGCTGCTGCTTTTGAAATTCCAGGTTTTAATCCAAGGTGTTTCGCAGCTGCGTTTTTTAAAGTTGGAACTCCTATCTCACAGACAACAAAAGCAGCTTAAAGCACACACAGGAGGAGCCACAGCTCTCCCCTAAGCACCTCTCAGGTCTCTTGGGTTCTTGTCTCGGGCACAGGATCAGCAGAAGCAGAAGCAGACACCAGCACACAGTGATCTTAAGACATCAGATTTTAAAGTGGGGTGGCAAGTTAAAAAGACATGTCTTCCAGAGTGCACTGTTTAAAATTCTACTACTGTAGGGGGATGTGGAGGTCAGGGGACAACTTTGTAGAATGGTCTACCTTTTTGTGGATTGTGGGATTCTGATTCATATCAGGCTTGTATGGCAGCTCTCTACCCTCTGAGGCATCACAACCACCACCACCACCAACCCCCACCCGCCTTTTATTCTGGCTTTCATAGATCCCTGCCTTCCTGAAGGATTAAATACTCTCGGCCTTGTGATTCTCAGTCTAGGTGCCAACTCAGGCAGTTACAGAAATGCCTAGAGCCATCCCACAGCAATGCAGAGGGCTTTTCTTGAGTAGACATGGCAGCTGTCCCTCCCACCAGCCTGCCCTTCAGTTCCGCTCCTCCCATTAGCAGAGTCGGCCCCAGAGGACCCCAGCAAGCCAAGGCACGAACTCTCCATTTCACAAAGTGACTAAATGCACAGTGAACTTAAGAATCTGTTCTTGCATTCCTTCTATGAGGTGGTCTCCTCAGTGAGACATTTAGTCCAGCCCTGAGCAGGCTGCATAGCCTTAAGAGAAGCAAAAAGACACCTGATGATCTGATCGAATGAGATCTTTCACTTATTAAAAAATCAAGGCTAAGTGAACACTGTCATTCTGCACAGAAAGCTAGGCCAGTGACCTCGGAGGGCTGACAGTGAGCATAGAAATGCCTCCATCTCACAAGTCCAGGGGCTGCTAGCTACACAGTTCTCTAATGCTCAAAATGGGTCACATGTGACTGAGACAGTTTCCCTTCCTATTTACAAGTGTCCATCTAGCCAGCATGTGGTACTACAGACTGGTGTAGGGCCGTGCAGTGCCGGACTGAGTAGCTAAAAACCACACACGGGTGACTTAAGTTGGTCCTCCACTGTGGGAACTGGCATCCATTCACCAGTGGGTTTTCTGATCTTTCATCAGGAACTTTTCTTTGTAAATGGTATTTTCTGAACTGACTGAGGCACTGCAGCTATCAAATTCACATACCTCACAATCAGTTTTTCCTCCAAGTAAAATGTGTTAACGCAGTTCAGACAGCCTCTGGGGTACACTGTTCGTACACATCTTGTATTCCAAACGGGGGCATCAGCATGTGCCTGAGAGCCCTCAGGCAGGCTGCCACACGGATCTTAAGAACCCAGTCTGACTGGGCTCTCACAGCACACCTGACACCTGAGTTTCTGGCAATGAGATGACAGTCCCACTATAAACACCCCTATGTTCGTACCTCTGACAGCTATGGTAATAAAGGGGTTCTTTGCAACAAAGACGCACCACTTATACGATACCCACTCCTTCACAACTCTCGTGAGGAGAGGGTAGATGTCTGTCCCCTGCGTGTAGCCGAGCCCCTGCTGACTGTCTATTCTCTTACGAAAAAGGTGCAGAGCGTGTGATTACCTTGAAAATGGAAATCCCTGGATCGATGCCGCCTCTCATTCAGGAAATGCTGGAGAACTCTGAAGGACACGAACCCCTGACCCCAAGTTCAAGTGGGAACACGGCGGAGCACAGTCCCAGCATCTCGCCCAGCTCAGTGGACAACAGCAGAGTCGGTCAGTCCCCGCTGGTGCAGTAGACACTTCCCAGCCACTGCAGACATTCCCAGACCTTCAGTTCCGGGATTTAAAATGCAAGGAAAACATTTTTACTGCTGCTTAGTTTTCGGACTGAAATGTTAAACTCGAAGGACCAAGACGTTCTATATATCACACTCTATTCCTCACTGTGTAACTTCCTAGAAATACAGAACTTTTCAAATTCTGAAAATCAGCCATTTCATGCAACCAGAAACTAGTTAAGTGCTTCTGTTTTCCTCTGAACAGTCAAGATGCATGGCAAAGGCCCGGCTGAGGCGACTTGGCCCTGGGTAAAGCTCTGGAGACTGTGCGTACAGAAGTCGGCTCTGCCCCCCTGCACTGTATGTCTGGTGCTTTTGTCCGGCACACTTTAACCAAGACACCGAGGTGAGGGACAGACCGCCGTGCGTGTCCACGAGGAAGGGTCAAAAGACAACTGTCTTGCTTTCACGGAGTAATCAAGGCCTCGCAGTAAGGCACTGGCACCTCCGTACAGTACAGGACCAGACACTCTGGACGCGTGTCCTGCTCTGACGCCCTCGAGCCACGCCCTTCCTTCGCGGTGCCCGGTTCGTGTGTCCCACTTTACTGCAGGAGAACTGTCAGGTCACTGCCAGTCCAGCCCAGTGTCATTTGTCCAACTGTTAATGTCACTTTAAAAGTCGTTTATTAATGACAACTACAGAATGAAAAATGCATTTTTGCAGTCATGATAGCCTCCAAGGCACACTGTCCAGTGTTCGTAAGCTTGTGTACCTGTTCACAGGACAATTAGCAGGCGGGTCTGCCCCTGGACTCCAGCAGTCCAGTGTCCTTCGACGCACGCCTAATCCTGGGATTTCCCCAGGTCTCAATGCTGAAGGTATGGGCAGTCGGCCTCTGGCCTTGTTCAATTACTGTGACAGAGCAACAGCTGGCAAAGTGATTGACAGCCTCAAGTGTCGGGTTCTGAGTTCATGTGCGCACTAGGAGTTTGTTCTGATATTAGCAAGTCTGTGCTGTACCGCCCCTGGCTGTTCGTACACTGAGATGGTTGGACAGTGCTTTCTATGTTCATATACTGTTTACCTTTTTCCATGGAGTCTCCTGGCAAAGAATAAATATATTTATTTTAAAGGTGTGTGTGAGCTTTTACTACCTTCATCGTCAGTAAAGAGACCAAGGACAGGGTTCCATTTTTAATGTTTAAATTTCATTTCAAAAAGCAGGTCTGTAGTCTGCAACCAGGACAATTAAAATCTGTGCTAACGCACAGCAGTCTATAACAATTCTACAAGCCAATCAGACAGCACATGACATTTCAATGAGTAAAAAAGAGCATAAAACTGTATGTAAGAACAAAATGTTAAAAGGCCTACCACAGTAATAAAAAACCATCAATTACTTCATCACATTAAAATAAGCCAGATGTACAAAAGTCTGAGACAAGACAAAGGACAACACAAGATATTGTTGAAAATGTTCGTGCTCTTGGGGCACTTAATCAAACATTGCAAAATCGACATCTTCTTCCTCATCAGACTCTGCAAAGTATTTTACTTCTTTCCGAGCCCGACCAGTCCTCGGCAGAGTGGGTGGTTCAGAAGTGAAGTCTGAAGGGAACATGTCTACCTCTGAATCCTGATCAAAAGATGTTTTCTTCGGTTTCTAGACATTAAAAAAAAATTAAAATCCCAATGTTAAGGAAAAATCATATCAAAAACTCATGCTTTTTAAAAGTAGAGTTGACATGCTAACTTAAGATGAATTTTACCAAGATACAGCCTCATCTGTGGATTCTCAAAGACGCTATTACTCAACAAGCATACAGAATATCCACGTTGTCCTATCGGCAAGTACATACTAAGAATTCATGCAGCACTCGGAAGGCAGGTGGAGCTCTGAGATCAAGGCCAGCCTGGTCTACATAGCTAATTCCAGGCCAATTGGGGGCTGCAGGGAGACCCTGTCTCAAACACACACAAATCACAGGAGCAGAAGATCATGCACAATATGTGTAGCACACTATCGCAAACGCTGATGAAATGTACTGAAGAGGCAATGAGTGGACCAGAGAAGGGACTAAACAGGAAAGGACAACATGTAAGCATAACCATCTATGTGTATTTTTAAGTTTTAATCCGAAGAGAAAATAAGGGGTGGAGGGAGATGCACCTGATGTCACTCATCTCCTCAAAAGAGGGTTTCTGGAGAAGGGTTGATTAGGGACATCAGCCAAAACAAATACAAATTAGTCCAAGCTCATAAGCAGCAGTCTAATACCAGTAAATACGACTACGACCGTCAGTGGATGAAATGGAGGGTTCTAATGGGTTGGTTTCTAGCACCCTCTGAGAACATAAATGAGTGCCTTCCTTGACGAGAGATGCAGATTCAGAGCTCTCTAAAGCACTGGCCGCGCACCTGCAGATGGGAGCCACGCTCTGGATGGCCTCTTGCTTACCTTGCTGGTTGTTCTGGACGTTTTTCTGCCGGGATTATAGTCACCTTCATTTTCAGAGCCAGATGCTTTCCTTTTCTTTGCCCCTCGGCCTTTACCTTAAAAAATATAAGACTTTTCCTTCTGAAGGTAAATGCATCGCAAGAAAACAGATGCTCAAATATGACACTTTTTTGGCATAACACTGTAAACTTGCAAAGGCTTCCAACCATATACATCTAGACATCCACAGTCTCTGTGATAATATTCTTAAGTTTCCTCTTAATCTCCCCCACTTCCCTGGGCTATATAATAAGATCCTGCCTCAAGAAAACCAAACCAAAACGAGGAAAAGAGGAAGAGGAAGGAGAAAAGGAACCTCCAGGGGAGTCTCTGCAGGGGTCTTTTAAGCTTATTTCTTGGTATATTTTCTCAATCCTGTCAATATTTTGACCAAACTGCTCTATCTTCCTTGGATTTGACAGGGCTCTGCTGCACACCACCATTACTGCCAAGTGACTCAATTAAAAATGAAATACATACCCCATCTCTAAACTCAGTAAAGCAGCAGAAACAAGCTCTTCCCCATGTGGCCGTGTTTGAGGGTTACGGAAACAGTCCTCACCTTTGGGTGCCGTGGTCTTCTTTGGGATGCCAAATTCAGAGTCTGAGTCCGAGTTCACAGTTTCTACAACTTTCTTCTGCTTGGGAGCTCTCTTGGCCTTCGGGGCTGTATCTGAAGGTGGTTTACCTATTAAGCAAATGTCCTTTTAACTGGTTAATGTAATATTCTTCCCAGCAAACAAGCTGAAGTGAGTTCTGTTACTGCTGCTAAGGAACTGAGTAACCCCAACAAGCCCATAGTATCTTTCTGCTTGGGGCCAACATAAAAGGTAAACGTCACCTCATAGATGACAATGATTTTTATTCAGTTAGACATAATTTGACTTTAGATAATTCAACTGAGGTGTTTTAAGCAAGGGCCATTAAAAGGAATTAAACAGCAACTTTTAAATACAGTATACTCATGAAGAAAGTGTCATTCACAAAGTAATTATAACCCATGTATACCACATGCTGAGTTCTCAGTTTTAAAATGATTTAGTGGGAAAATGCATTTTTATGGGATCCTCAAATACAATAAATGAAACCACTCATTTCCTTCAATCATTAAAATCCAGACTTGGTATTTTTATTTATGTGGCAAGAACCTGTATATAAAATCCTATATAGACAGATGGAAGATGCTTTGTTGTATTTTTATTACTTTTATTTTATGTGTACTAATGTTTTGCCTGCATGTATGTAAGTGCACCACATGTGTGCAATGTCAACAGAGGCCATAAGAGGATGTTGGCTCCTCTGGAACTGGAGTTATGGACAGCTCTTAGCTGTCATGTAGGTGATGGGAATTGAACCTGGGTCCTGTGGAAGGATACCAAGTGTTCTTAACCATTGAACCCTCTCTCCAGCCCCTGTATTTTGTTTTAAAAACAGATCTTGTTTTTAAGTTTCATCTGCAGTTCTAGGAAAACACTAATAATCATTTTTACTTGTAGAATAAAAACTAATTTGGAAGGATATGGGAATGGAGATATTTTCCAAAACAGAAAAAAATGAGAAAGCCTAAGCAAGTGATGAACGTCCATTTAGGTTTGTTATGATATACAAAGGATGAGACAAAAATAATATACACATAACATTAAATTTTTTATGGTCATAGTTTAGTCAACTATTTTAATGAAAACAATATGTGTCTAGTCAAAGTTTATCTAAGAATATTTGGTTTTTAACCCAAACCTTATCTACATAGCACATGATAATTAGAAGTACCAGACTGCTGGAACTAACCTTATTGGATGTTTAACAGCCACAGTTTGA